TTGTGCTTCTCATGGATGGTGCTTCTCATGGATTGGTTCTCAAAGCTGGCAAGGAGGCCTTCTGCCTTTCACCCTCCAATTCCTTCCCTTCTTCCTGCCAGGGACACAGATGTACCGCCTGAAAGAGGCAACCACTTTGTGGCTGTGAGGATGAAAACCGTACGTTAAGGAAGACTGATCAAGTGCTTTGGGCTTTGTGACGGCATCAGTGATCTATCATACAAATCCTAGAAAGTCTGCATTCAGACTTCTTTTTACATGGGACAAACTCTTATTTGGTTGAAAACCTACAGATGAGTTTCTATTATACGCAGCCAAGTACAAACTCTAACCAATACCACCTGCACCCTGATCAGTTCTTCATCTGGACCTCATCTGGGCCTCATTCCCTTTCCCATCAGTGGGGATTCTGGTTATCTCTGGGCTGCATGAGGAACTAGCTGGATAACATGTATAAAGATTCTAGGAGAACAGTACATGGTTATAGGAATATATTTTTAAAATCTATTACAATCTTTTTGTTTTAAGCAGAACCCTATATACATAGCTTCTCTTCTCCCCACCCTACCCCTATGTAGCCTGGGCCCCCATTACAGGAGAGAAGATTAGAATTATTAGACTGGGAAAGCAAAAACAAAGGCAAGATAAGGTAAAGTCTAATTGATCACCTTGAAGTCCAGTTTGTATAGAAAAGATAGAATAAATGCATGACTATTTCTTTAAAAAAAATTCTAAATAATGAGTTCGTTCCCTTAACCATGACAGTAACCAATCAATTGAGTTGCTTTAGAATTATTTTTAACTTGTAGATATAATCCTATATGATGTGTTTGCAACAATTGCACTTACCAAATTTTCGTGCTCCAATTGGCCCATCCTTGCCTAGTAGGCGCCTATGTGAATTGGTTTTTAGTCTTTTTGACACAATCCTAATTTCTATCTCTATCTCTCCCTTCCTTTCTGAAATCTATTTAAAAAACAAACAACTAAAACAAAACAAACAAACAAACAAAAATAAACGAGGGACCAGAGACATGAAAAAGCTGCCTTGGGGACATACTAGCTCTGGACAGAAGCAGAGAGAGAGTGGAAATGGGGCCTTGTTGATACTTTCCTTGCTTTCTGTAATTATTTTAAAGTAAAATGATCTCGTGTCTGGGATTTGTTTTAAAATGGCGTGAGAAAAAGAGGAAACAATTGGCCATGAGTTGATAACTGTTCAGGCTGGGTGGTGGTCCCACGGAGGGTCATTATACTATTCTCTGACATTTGTGTATGCCTGAAACTTTCCAAAATAAAAATGGAAGATTAAAAAAAAATCTTCAGCTTATGAGTTCCAAGAGGACCTCGAAGTCCTTAGCAAGACAGTGCCTGACTTGGATGGGAGAAAGAGATTTCTAAGGCTTTTCTTGATGTATCAAGAGTAAGTGGAGATAGAAGTCTGAGTATAGAACTGTATTCAAATTCATAAGTAGTGAGCTATCCGGATATGACCCACATTCCCCTCAGTCCCAGGAAGGCAATAAAAAATAAAAATTAAAAAAAGCCTGGGCTGGCTTAAGCTCAGCTGTTCCTTCTTCCTGTCAAATCTTCACTTGCCAACCAACTCTTGCTTACCAGAGTAGTTCCAGACCAGGGCACCTTCCAGCCCTTAACAAACAAACAAACAAACAAACAAACAACCACCTCTAAGTGGAAAACAGTGGGAGGGTGAAGGGAAAGGAGAGTGGGGGGAAAGTCCCACGGGTTTCTCATGGGTACCCTCTTGGCAGTTTTGGTGGTGGTCCCAGTGGGTAAAAGGGTTTTAGGGGGGCGGGTCCCTCATGAACTGGCTTGTTTCAGGTGCTCCCACTCCTGGGCCCATTTCTTGCCTCTAACCTCCAACAAGCCTGACTCATTTTCTCGTGGTCAAGAGGCTCTTGCTTTCCAGACAGGGCAGGAAGGAGCGCTGGGCTGGGAGTCCTGATGCCAGCGTACCAGCCCTGTCTGTAACTCAAGATGCCACTATTTTAGATCTCAGCTTCATCGCCCATGCAATAACCTTCCTTGTTCCCACCTGGCCAAGCCGGGACTCCAGGAGCAGATGGCCCTGTAGGCCTTCCTGCCTTCCCCCCAAACACCCTTTCCACCTTGGCACATGACATCACCTCCCCAAGAAATAGCAACTGTTGTCACTTTTTTTTGCAAACAACTAGGGAAGAGGAGGTGCGGGCATCGCTGACACCGAAGTTGGCAGCAGCACGCTCAGGCTTTGGGAATCCGGTGCGACCCGACCTGTCTGATTTCTCCTCTCCGTCCTTGCAGATCCTGACCCCTGAGGAGACATCTCCTAAGAGACGGCTGGGCTGCCGGCGTCGCCTCTGCTCCCGGGAGGCACGGAGCCAGCGCGCGGGAGCCCAGCGCCGCTGCCGCCTCCCCGCAGCCCGGGAGGGAGGGAGGGGCCGGGGGCCGGGCCGCACGGAGGCGGCGCGCGGGGCTCGCTGCGCTCAGTCTCCTTCCGATCATCGCAGCCCGGCCGGCGGGAGCGGAGCCGGAGCCGGAGCCGGAGCCAGAGCCGGAGCTGGAGCCAGGGCCTCGGAGCAGGGAGGTGGAGGGCGGGTGAAAAGCTGGCGGAGCGTGCACTGGAGAGCTGACCGCGCCTGGACCCCCGCCGTGTGCGCGTCCCCTGGCGATTCCGGTGAGTGCCCGCCCGACACCGAGCCTCTGCCAGGCGCCAGGCTCGGCGGCCGCCTCGGACCCGGGTCACGGTCCCCAATCCCGGGGGTGCGCACCCCGGTGCTGCGCGGCCGCCGCTGCGGGGCTCACAGGTGGCTCCGCGGTGGCTGCTGCTGCCCCAGGCCCCGCCAGGAGTTAGCCAACTCGCTCCGCTCCGGGCGCGGCTTCCGAGCCTCCGAGGCTCCCACCTACCGCCCTTTGCTTTTAGCTTGGGGTGGGGAGCGCACCGAGGGGTGCTCCCTAACTCTCCCCCCCCCCACCCCCCACCCCTGTCTCCGCCACTACCAAGGATTCGGGGAGATGTGGGCCAGGCGCCTCCCCAAGCTGCAGCTCAGCTCCTGGCCGGCTGGCTAATGGGACAGCCTGTGCTTTAGCTTTATTCTCCTAGTAACCCACCGGGGAAAGTTGGGGACCACACGAGGCAAAGTTGGGGCGTGGTTCAGGGCCCCCTTGGCCGGCGGAGGCCGCTCTGCTGGAGCCGAGCTGTGGGTTTGCAGGTGGAGCCCCACTCTCGCTGGGGCCGACAGCGCGCCCTGGGAGTGGACTTGGCCTCTGCCGGTGGCCAGGCTTGGCGCTGTCTGGGACCATCCCCCCGGAGAGCTGTGAGTCGCTCTGTCATTCCTGCTAAGAGTAAGGACTAGACATCTGCCAGCCGCCAGGCATCTGTGACGGGCTCGGTTTATCTCATAAAGAAGCAGCATCTCCGCCTGCTTGGACTTGTGCTCTCGCTCTGCAAACCTGAGCTCCTCCGGCTAATCTCAGCGTTTAACTGGCGTGCGTTTAATTAGCTTATTTTACACCTGAGATGATCCCTGAGAATGTCCCTAAAGTGCAATCTTTGATGGGGGGGACTCAGCGGGGAAAGAGGAGGGGGAGGGGAGACTGTTTTTAAAGAAAGTTAGAGAGAGGAACCTTCAGAAGATCAGCGGCGGTGTCTGGATGTTGTACCCAGCTCCTCTGTGGGCCAGAGCATGGGAGCTGTTTGGACGTCTCACTGCCTAGAGGAGTCGGTGCTGGGGCTGTTTGGGGCAGCTTTTGTGGATGGAGGTATTGCTGCAACTTGCATATTGTTTATGAAGTACACATGTGGTCTCCTGAAATAGCCTTCTTGTTGAGAGTTGTTTGGTTTACTGAGTTGTCTATTTCAAATAGGGCTCGAGAGTGAGCTTTTTAAAGTGAGCTTCAACTGACAACAATGTCTAGATGTTGAGGGAAGACAATTGGTTCGCGTCGCTAGAACATTCTTTTGTAAACTTAAATTTTTCAAGGTCTAGCTTTCTGCATCTGATACAGGAGAAGCTATGCATGAAAAATCAAATCCTGAGATCTTTACGTGTTCAGGGAAAGATTGCTACCTCCGCCAACACTCAGCCCTTTCCAAATGGTGGGTTGGATCAGAAAGGGGTGCCTGCATCTGGAATTACATAACTGGGCTAACAGAAACTGGGAGCAGTTGTTGGCTGTCCAGTACATACGTAGTTCTAAAAGAAGTGATATCTTTGTGGCACTGGGAGGTTGTTAGGTGATTTAGGGTGGGACAGATTTTCATCTAGAAAAATTTTATACGTAACACACATCTAGTCTATACCTAATATTGGATCTACCAAAATGCTTGTGATTGTATATACGCAATGGTAAGTGCCTACTATGTGCCACATCCTCTTCTTAGTGCTTCATGTGCTTTAACTCATCCTCAAAGCGATCCTTGGCGGTAGGCGCTGTCATTGTCCTAGCTTTTGAAATGGGGTAACTGAGGCCAAGGAGTTAAGTAACTCACACAGCTATAGGATAGGACTATCTTAAATCTACAACGTTCTTAAATCTACAATGTTTGTTGTTGTTATTGTTTTTTAATATATTTTATTGATTTTTTTTTTTTTTACAGAGGGGAAGGGAGAGGGATAGAGAGCTAGAAACATGGACCAGCTGTCTCTTGCACACCCCCTACTGGGGATGTGCCCACAACCAACGTACATGCACTTGACCGGAATCGAACCTGGGACCTTTCAGTCAACAGGCCGACGCTCTATCCACTGAGCCAAACCATTTTTGGCATACAACGTCCTTTTTTTTTTTTTTTTTTAAAGCAAACATGATATACTTACCCTTGTTTTTTTTTTATTTTTAAAGCATACATGTCAAAAGCATCTCCTGTGAAGCATAAGAACCCCTGACCGTGGAAGTGCCGCACAAGCACCATTGACTATACAGTAAGGCAAAGCATGAAAGAGCCATCCTGGTGAGTTTACGATTGGAAGACCACCTCGCCCACCAGGAGCCCCAAGATGGATGTGCACCAGAGCACCACCCTCCCTTCCCCTGAGAAACGGTGTCCAGAGACCTCACCTTCTGGCTGCAGGAAACACCACGCTGTCAGGAAAAGACTGAAGTTCATTCGAATCTTAGGCCTTTTCATGGGCCTGGTCGCCATCAGCATGGTCCCATTTTCAATCAGCGTCTTTTCCGAGACAGAGACACAGAGCACAGGAGAGGCTGGTGGTGCAGCCAGCCCCGGGGTGGCCCACGGCTACCGGCAGAGAACTCTCCTAGATTTAAACGACAAGATTCCGGATTACACGTCACAGCCGCCTCTTTCTGAGGAAGGCGCATCTGAGAACAGTACCGATGAGGACCAAGGGAACTACCCAAGAGACATCTTTTCCCTCGAGGATCGACGCAAAGGCGCCATCCTCCTCCATGTCATTGGGATGATCTACATGTTCATAGCCTTGGCCATCGTCTGCGATGAGTTCTTTGTTCCTTCGTTGACTGTCATCACTGAAAAGCTGGCCATCTCTGATGATGTTGCCGGAGCCACCTTTATGGCTGCCGGGGGCTCGGCCCCAGAACTGTTCACGTCTCTCATAGGAGTGTTTATTGCTCACAGCAATGTGGGCATAGGCACGATCGTGGGCTCCGCGGTGTTCAACATCCTCTTTGTGATTGGCATGTGCGCGCTGTTCTCCAGAGAAATCTTGAACCTGACCTGGTGGCCCCTCTTCCGGGATGTGTCCTTCTACATCATCGACTTGATCATGCTGATCATATTTTTCCTGGACAACATCATCATGTGGTGGGAGAGCCTGCTTCTCCTCACAGCTTACTTCGTCTACGTGATCTTCATGAAGTTCAACGTCCAGGTGGAAAGATGGGTGAAGCAAATGATAAGCCGCAATAAAGTCGTCAAGGTGGCAGCGCCAGAGGCCCAAGCAAAGGTTGGTGGTGGTGGCTGTTGATTGAATGTTCTGAATTATTATGTTTTTAAGATCTGCCAATTTTTTTTTTTTTTAATGTGATGGTGTTTGGGGCTGCAGTGGATAATAGGTTGCTTTTTGCAGTTCTCTGCTAGCCCGACTCACATGGCAGTCAGAAACATTATGGGGCAATGTTCTTGTGACTCTTTACTAAGTTCTCAAGCTGTTTGCTTCAGAGTAAAACACTCATAAATATAGGTTGCATAAGTACCACACAGCAAACTCAGCCAACCAAATAATCTGTCTCTTATTTCCTGCAAGTAGGCATAACAGTTCTGTGAAACAATGTAATTTTCACGGGGAAGTTCATGATAATTAAGAAAGAAAATGTGTGTCCCCAAAGCTATCTAAGTCAACAGACTTCAAGAGACTGGTCATCGGAGTGGGTCATGTCTATTCTTGATCCACACAGTAATGTTCCAGATCACTTGGTCAGGGACTGATTGGGATCCATTACGGGGAGTCACTGGCAGGTCCTGCTGTCTGCCTCTGTAAGCTTGATGGCACATTTTTGCACAACCATGATAAACAGGACCCAAAACATTTTTCATAGTAAACTTTGAGGGGTTTTAAATAACAATAGTGGCCATCCTACCACCTAGCTGGTGAGCAAAATGGGAAAGAGCTTAGAAGGAATTGATCTGCAAAAATGTAAATCCTCACATTGGAATGTTGTCTCTGAATGTGATTTTAAACAAAAAACCAAAATACATATGCAGACTGCATACTAGCATCTGGAAAAGTCTCATGTGTGAAAAAAAAAAACAAAAAAAACCCAGATGTTGAGTAGAGGGTGAGATATTTTGTTCAGCATGAAAAGAAAAAAAATTATATCAATTTAGTATAACTCCTTTATGGTCAAGTTTGTGACCTATCCTTTTTTTATTTGTAGTAGTTATGAAATGGGAGCAGAGTGCAGAAAAACATACCAGTAATATTTCTATTTGTTATATGCAAAAGAGAACTGTATATATATATATTTTTTTAGTATTCCACTCAGTGTACGGTTGTTGTTAGAAATTGCAGTTAAGCCAAAACCGGTTTAGCTCGATGGATAGAGCGTCGGCTTGGGGACTGAAGGGACCCGGGTTCGATTCCGGTCAAGGGCATGTACCTTGGTTGCGGGCATATCCCCAGTAGGAAGTGTGCAAGAGGCAACTGATCGATGACTCTCTTTCATCGATGTTTCTAACTCTCTATCTCTCTCCCTTCCTCTCTGTACAAAATCAATAAAATATATTAAAAAAAAAAAGAAAAGAAATTGCAGTTAAAATAATCACTTCGCACTATACATGCAAATAAGCATTCAGATGTGATACATGAGTATATGAATATGTATTCTTGTGGGCGTAGGACAGGGTCATTACTGAGCCCCTTTCCTGCTCTAATTTTAAGGCCAAAGGATGACCCCTCAAGCCTTCTCCTTGACTCTGATTGCTAGTGTGAGTGGTTTGCGTGAATAGTCTTACATGTTTATGGCAACTAGAGTACTGAAGGAAAAGCATATATATTAGAGGCAAAGACATGATTTGGTGTCTTATAAATATCCTTGGCACATCAAGGGTAAAATGTCTTTTTGAGAACTCACCATTTTTTTTCTGTTACCCCATAGTGGAACTTCATTAATTAAATACAGACTTAGCTAAAGGTTATGTTGGTGACATTCATGAAAAAGGAATTTGTAGGGCAATACAGTCGTGTATTGAAGATTGCAGGGGGTTTGTATTCTGATTGGGGCAGGATGCTGATATCATGCATTTGCAAATAACTTTTAAAATACCGTTTATAGATAGTGTTTAATCAGTGAGAAGCTATTCATTAAAGTAGCTCTAGCAGGATTTTTACCTTCTATATTAGATAACTGTCATGTCATTTTTATGGTCATTTAAAAGTCAGAAACTTAGGCTCACATTCCTTAATAATTGTTACTCAATTCCATAATTTTGCGCTATGCTTAATAGTGCGCATATTTTAATCTGGAGATCGCAGATTTATCTAATTATAATAGGAAGGAGATTATATTTATGACTACTACTCCTCATTCTGATTCCTCTCCCCCCCAAATGTGTTCATGTGTTATTTTCCTTTTAGCACCAAATACCTTTAATTTATTCCTTTTAATTAGTGTTATTTCTTTTAATATTAAAAAACGAAGTTGAACTATAAATATAATGGAAACATAATTTTTAACATAGTTATGCCTTGTTTGGTAAGCAGAATGTTTGTTTGGTGAATCAAAAATGCTAGGACACAGTTATACATTTTTAGGTGAAATGGTGCATAATGGTGTGTGATTTCCTTCATAAAATTTTGCCTTGTCAATTTTCCTTTTGAGTGAATGATTGCTGAAAAAAATTTGTTCTCAGCAGTTAGTCTTTATCAAGCACCTGATTTCAGAATCTTAAGGATATTTTGCTTCCGAGGCCCTAAACAAGTTGTCCCAAAGGCAGACAAGTCCTTGGGTGTGGCCATACAACCCTTGGATGGGCAAAGTTGATTTCTGGCTGTGCACCCCATCATTCTACAGAAGCCAGTGCTTCTAGCATCATCAGAGCACTCAAAAGGAAGACGCTAAGCCAAAATCCTGCCCTCAGTGGAGTCTTCATAAAGAGGAATGTGCTATATGTAAACTTAGCAAGCAAAATACTAATCATACCTTCATGCAAAGCTGCTGTATTACCTTTTTAAAAATATATATTTTATTTATTGTTTTACAGAGAGGAAGAGAGAGATAGAGAGTTAGAAATACCAATGAGAGAAACATCAATCAGCTGCCTCCTGCACACTCCCTACGGGGATGTGTCTGCAACCAAGGTACATGCCCTTGACCGGAATCAAACCTGGGACCCTTGAATCCAAAGGATAATGCTCTATCCACTGAGCCAAACATTAGGGCAGCCGCTGTATTATTTTATTGCATAATTATGGGGCATAGGAATATGGGGAAGTAGAGGAAGCATTTTATATATTCTTGTACAAATCATTAAAGGTTCTGGCTAAAAAAAATCATCAGCTCTGCTGGACTCTAGTCAGTGAAATATCTTTGGAACGACTTGCTTCATAGACAAGTTGAAAGTCTTCATTTGGTCCCATTATTGGTGATGTATGTCATGGGGCAAACGTGAAGCATGGGGAAATGTGAACTGCCATATTTTTCATAGTTAAAGTAGTAGTTTGTCATCCCAATTGTTCCACCCTGTGTGGTTTTTTTATTTGTAATTATTTATTTTAGAGATAATATTATCCTTTTTAAAAAAAACTGTGTAGTGTCACGACATGGTAATAGTACCCTAGGCTTTGACTTCATGTGTATAATAAGCTCTGTGATCTCAGAGAAGTCATGTAAACTTACTGAGCCTCCTCATGAAGATAATAGTACCTTGATAAAATTTGAACAATTAATGAAGCACGTTAAGCAGCTACCATACCTAGTCCTTGGCAAATGTGTGTTGTTCAGTAAATGTTCATTCTCCTCTTTTGATCTTTCAATCTTAAATGGAAAGGGAATCAGAACAAATTATTTCAAATGTGAGAATTTTGAAACATTTCTTGAAGGTTGGGATTCACCCCAGTGAATCACTGAGTTAAGCAGGCCATCGTTTAGAAGCAAATACTGTTTGTCGTGTTATAATATTTATAAGCCCTCGTTCACATACTGTGAATATACGTATGCAGGACACACATTATCATAAACTTCAAGGAGACCTCCAAATGCCTTTGCTATCCTAACATGTTATTGTGTAGAATTTTGCTTGAAATAAGTAGGCCCTTAGCTGGGGTTTAGAAAGATCTATGCTAAGCAGAGATTTTTGTTTTAAGGTATTTTTTATTTATAAATGATTGATATTCTCATCTGAAAACCTCTCTACAGTGGGTTAGGAGTAAGTCTGAGTCCTGAAGAATGCGAGGCAGTGGAGTTCCAGGGTTTTAGAAGCAGTTTGCTGCGCCTTGGCGAGCTGCTGAGGTCTGTTGATCTGCCGTGGTGCTAGGCTGTCATTGGCCTAGAAAGCAGCTGTCCATGGTATTTAACTTCTTCTTAGACTTGGCACAGTAATCTGACAGCAAGTCAGCCCAGTAGTAATGAAGGGAAAGGTCTAAATAAAGATGCTTAAAGCTGATGGTTGAGGAACAGGCTACTTATCAATTTAGGTGTGCCTTGCTTTATTCAGATTGGTGTGTTCCTGAAAAGTTGTTTGTAAGCAGAATTTTTGCAATTCAAATGGGCATTAATGTTCATGGGAAAATCAGAAATGAAATGTTATAAATATTTCTCATGCAGTGAAGTATTTCTTATAAACCATAAATAATATTATAAATACAAATGGATAGCCCCGAGTTTGCTTACCACACAGAATATATTATAAAACTCAACCTTTGCATCCCTTCCAGGCTTAGTAAACAAATGAGTAAAATAATTGTACAGATTCCAAGAAAAGGAAGGGAAGATCGTTCTTATAATAGGTAAAAAAGGTAGTATTACTTCACGAACTTGGAAACTGTCCTTCTCAAAAGAAAATGTGGGCATTAAAATTCTTGACAGTCTAGATGCCTATGAGTGTACTGTGCTTACCTAGGGGTCAAAGTGCATCATTCTCCTTGTGTTGTTTTCCTCTACTTATATCAAAAGTAAGCCCTTCAGTTACTGCCTGTGATTGAAAGAAGAGCAAGTCTTTTTGAGGGACGCACAAAGCCCAGAGGATTTTAATATACTGCCCCCCCTTGCTACTCTGATTTCTTCAGCAAGAGACTGCCTCAACCTTGTGAATCTTCCTGACAGTGTTCAGAGGAGATGTTATGCTCTAACCTCCCTTTCTCCCTTCCTCTTCTTCCTCTCTCCTTTGTCCCTTTATCTCCCATCTCCTCTTTAATCTCCCTTTATTTCCTTTTTTTGTAGAATCAGATAATTTGTATTTTAATTTTAACAAGGTTGTTATGTTAAGCTGCTCTCTGGCTATTGCACA